TCAAAAACTGAAACCAGAGGTTCCATTTGACTCAGCTATTCCCCTTGGTATTTTCCTGAAAGAGTTAAAAGTATCGTACCACGTTTAAATACCACATTATTTCTCTTGTGTCAGAAAGTGAAGGCACAGATAAGGATCAAAATGGATGATAGACTTAGGGAAGGTGGAAGAAAATGTTCAAATAGGAAGGGGAATAAGGGAGGGGGAAGGGAAGGAAGGGGGAAAAAGAGAATGATAGAAAAAAATGGAAACACTGCAAGGCAGGCAGCAAAACCACTGAGCTAAATCCCTGGCCCATCATTTACTTCTTTTAGTCCTTTTTTCAAAAACTCTTAAGACCTTATTTGTTGTGTTTGTGTAAATATCATAATAATTTAACAAATGATTTACTAAATTTCTCCTGTGTGTCCAGCAGCATTTCTGCCATAACAGAATCTAACTAACTCTTGACTATTAGAACAGATTTCTCAAGACTGGCACTACTGACACCTTTTGATGAGGGCAACCCTATGCATTGTAGGGTATTTGACAGCATTCCTGAACTCAACTCTCCAGATGCCAGTAAAATACTCTCCCTTCCTCCACTGTGACAACCAAACATGTCTTGCGACATCACCAAATGTTCCCTGAGGGGCAGAAATCACTCCTGAAATGCTAAATGAGGAGTCACACAAATTGTCAAATTATAAGTGTAGTTTGGAAGTAGCTTTATCACTTAGGGCAAATCACATGGAGCAAAATATCTTGGAGTCATTTTTACGCCTCTTTCATACACCTAATTTATGAGCAAGTCCTTACTCACTATCAAAATGTGTTCTGATTCTGAGTCTTCTCACCGTCCTCACTGCTGCCACCCTGGTCCAAGCCATGGCCATCTCACTTGATATCAGAATATCGAACCCTCCGACTGGCCTCTCTGTTTCCCGTCATTGTCACTTTCTTGTTTCTGCATCCCTGTGCTGTTTTCCCCCATACAGTTGCCAGATTAGTGTCTTATAATGTAGTCAAACAATGCAATTCTCTGATCAAAATCCTCCCGTGATTCCACATCACTCTTGGTATAAAAATAAAGTCTCACATGGCCTGCACTGCCCCACATGATCAAACCCCTGGCTACCCCCGCCCAAACTCACCTTTACTACTCTCCTCTTACTGAACTTCCGCCACAGCAGCATCCTGCTGGTCCTTAAACATGTCATCCATGTTCCTATCTTTGAGCTCTGTACTTGTTTGTATTTTAGCCGAGAATATCCGTCCCCCAGACTCCTATTCCTCCTCTGGCTCATCTCCACCTCATACAGGTCTCTGCTCAAATGTCCCTTCCCTAGAGAAGTTTCCCCTGCCTGCCCTGCTTTAAATGGTAATTCCATCATGCATCCTTCTCTGACCTTGTTTTATTTTCATTCTATCACTTATCATTATTTGACATCACAGTACATGTCCATTTGTTTATTTGTTCACATCTCTCTCCAAGTCTTCAGAGAATGTAAATTTTCTGAAGACAAGGACTTGGTCTCTGTTGCTCACTAACTTTTAAGGCAATGACAACCCTAAAGAAAAAGCATCCTCAGGGACAAAACCATGTTTAGAAAATTGTAGGTACTTCAATATTTTTGAATGAATGAATGAGAAGGAGGCAGACAAGAAGAAAGGAAGATAAAAGTAATGTCATCATCATCTAGTGCTGACCTGATCAGAAACATTAGCAAAAACTGTTTGGAGGAAGACTGTAAGTTAACTAGATGGAGGAACAGGTGGTGGGAAGGTATTGTGGTATGACATTGAGACGGAGAGAAATAAAGGTGACTCTTCCAAAGAGGTCTGTCTGTGTGTACAGGACACAGGTATAAACTCGCCACATGAAAGTACTGAAAGAAAGTCATTGGGATGATTTAGGACATAACATAGGACGTTACTGCAAGTCAAGCAGAGTGTAACGTTGATATTTTTGTATCTACCTGTAGTATGCTGGTAGTAATGATGAAACTACCAAAATATGAAAGTCAAGAGACTTCCTCAGTGATGTCCAGTAGCAAGTCTTAATCTTGTACCAGTTGAGGTCTTATGCTTAGAACTTCATGTCATATAATAATTAGCTGTTTTGAATATATTATTTAAAACAAAAGACATTGAGAGACATGGAGATGTCTCATTTCCATCCTGGGAAAAGTGGATCTATTATTTAGTAGATGTTGCAAGATCTCCCACCATGCAGGCTATACTATCTGGAATTCTATCTGTATTTAATATTAGTCAAGATTCTCCCAAGAAACAGGCCAATAGTATGTACGTATATGTTTACATGGATTAATAGATTGATAGCTAAACACACACACACACACACACACACACACACACACGGGTTTGGGGCAGGGATTGAGGAAGTAGGAAGAAAGGAAAGAGAGAGAGAGAGAGAGAGAGAGAGAGAGAGAGAGAGAGAGAGAGAACTGACATATCCAAAATCTATGGAGAAGCAATGGAGATGTTGCAGTCTTGAGTCAGAAGGCAGAGCGGAGGTAGAGTAGCTTTCTCCTTAGAGGACTGCAGTCTTTTTTCTCTAGGCTTCCACTGCTATATGAGGCCCATCCATATTGTGCAAGATAATCAGATTTAAAATAAAACTCTACTGATTAGATTTTAATCATATCTAAAAAATACCTCTCCAGCAACATCTAGACTGGTGTTTGATCAAAACACTGGACATGCTAGCCAGACTGACACATAAAACTAACCATGGCAGTGGTTATTGCACTGTACAATATGTTGCAGTGTATTCCCTCACAGCATTGCTAACAGAGTTTAGGGTCACATTATTGGATTTTTGCTGATCTGGTAGGTGAAAGTATTATCTCAGTATATTTTTATTTAACACTTCTCTTATTATTAGTGATTCTGGGCATTTTGTTTCAAATATTTAAGAAAATTATATACATATATATATATGTGTGTATATATATGTTTTGTTTTTGTTTTTGTTTGTTTGAACTGCTCAATAATGTACTTTACCCATTTTTCTATTTAATTGTTGGTGTTTTTCCCCTCAGTATTCTATTTTGATCAAAACTATTATTTCTAAAAAAAATTATGAAGGATTTGCTGGTAATCCATACTCTTTTTCCTCCTTACCCAGTAGAGAAAGGAGACGAAGGGCAAAGGTTTGAAATAGATGACATTTTAAAGAAGGAATAGAAGGGATCTCTGTTCTCATGATTTCTTGTAATATTTTCTAGAATTTTGTTTAAAAAAGGATTACTTAGGCTTTCTTTATCTTGATCATTATTCAAATCATTTTTTTCTTAACAATTCTGACTTCGTCTTCTACTATTATCATTCTCTAACATTAGCCATTTCACCTTCTGTTCATTGAGCAGAATGGCCTCACACAGAATCTATGCATTTGCTTTTCACTGTGCTTGGGATGCTTCTCCTCTGTTTCCACAGCTGTCTCCCACTTAGTCATTCAGTGACATGTTTAGTCATGTTTCAGTGACAAACTTAGTCATGTTTCAGTGACATCTTACCTGGCCATCCCACCTCAGAGAAATGAGCTGTGCTATCCCCTTATGCTTGGGAAGATTACAATCTAATAGGAAAATATCTGTGACACACATAGTAAATTAGGAATGTCAGTGATGATGCATAGAAATGTAAATTTCAAAGGTGAGTTAAGGATTGAACTGGAAGAATAGATAATATTTTAATAGGTCAAAACCTATTTAGTGGGTCAAAATTTAAATAGACCTACCTATTGAGCAAGAAAAATATAACTGCTTTAAAATCCAGTTTATTCACCCATAAAATGTTTGAAAGGATTCAGTGAAAGAGTAAATATGGAGCACTTTACAAAGCTTATGAAAGGAGAACAATAAATGTTAACTTTTAAAATGCCCCTTCAAAGTCTTAGCAGCAGGCGTGGACTGGGAGAGTCAGAAAGTTGACTGTAGGCTGGAGCATAGGCTTGATGAAGTGGCATCGGAGAAATGAAGCAGCAGAGAAAAGTTGAAGGAAAACCTCATTTGGAAAACATTTAATTCTTTCTTCTTGCTCAAAGGGAAATTTTAAAAGGCAGGGGAATAAAAGGCATTAATTAGAACTAAAACTGACCCTGTGGGGACAAGGACTCTTCATTTTCTGCTGTGTCCCAGGGTCTATAAAGCAGAGCTAGTCATACAATTTGTGTTTAATAATTATTTGTGGAGGGCATCTACCTTGTTGTGGAGGTGCAGAGACAAGTAGAGGAATAAGAAAGAAAATACTGAAATTCCCAAATCTCTGCTGTGTGTCTATGCACACTTGTACCAAGTGCATCTCTCAGGGACAGTAGGCATATGGAGGCAGGCTGGAGCAATAGAAAAGTAGAGAACCCTAATGCTTTTCACAGTTAGCACAGCTGAGTTGCTGGAGTGGAGTCTGTAGAAGAGAGACAGTTCTGAAAAACCAAGAAATGGCCATGAACGGGATATGTAAAATCCCTACCTCCAAAATTCAGTGTTCACTCAAACACTCTGTATGGGTGGTTCACTCAAATACCTGGTATAGTACTAAGAACTCCGTGGATTGGTACAGACTAGAAGGAAGGGACAGACATTATCATTGAGATACAACACTTTGGCACATTTATCTCTAAACTTCTAAATAAGATGCCTTGGAATTCTCTTTAGTCTGTACTACCACCTTTATTTTCTGAAAAAAACTTTCAAAAATCTCAACAATGGGAAAATATCTAAATTCCTTCTTCTGAAAATCTGTGTGTATTCATAACTGTCCTAGAAACAGTGGACATGTGCTTCACTCCCACAGCTTTAACATAATCCACAAAAGGAAGACTTACAATGACCCGAACACAAAGCCAAATGTCTAGTGTATCTTTGTGTTGATGACAGAGTTTTCTACTATTTTTACTGTCTTTTCATCAAGCCAAATACTAATTAAGCCAAATACTAATATTTAAAATCTGATAGCCCAAGAGACTGAAATAAAAACCTAAATCTCACCCACAGATGCTTCAAAGCTTGTGTTCTACTTGTGACCAAGGACTCAGCCAAGCATGGAACCCAGGTGCATTGCCAGTGCCTGAACATAGCAGAACCCATTCTAGGGAGAGCTTGAATTGTCTGCATCTGAATGTCATCCCTTATATTTCTTGATGCAGGTTAGAATTCCTCTTCATATCATATGAGAACAAAACAGAACAGCCTAGAACACAGTAAGTACTGTGAATACTCAAACTCGTAACCGCCTACACAAAGCAAAAACAGTCTGAAAGGGTTTTTAATGTGAGATATTTCTGCAGAGGACTTCTGTGGCTGTGTGTACAAAAGAATTAAACAAACAACAAAAGCAATTTAAGGAATTTGTATGTTTTGTTGCTTTGACCTTCCTTGTATCCCTTTCCTTTAAGAAAGAAGAAAAGAAAAAAACTAGCTTTCTCGGTATGACAATAAAAACGTTCCATCTTTTAAAAAAGAAGACAAAGAATAGCTTTTAACATGGGTCAGATACTATGCATTGCTTCTATTGAATTAGCCAGAGAATACACACTTTTCCTTTATGTAACAGACAACATGTGTACATGTACAGGCGTAAGGACTAAGGGGGTGACGAATATTTTCCCATATAACCATTACGTGTATTTGTGCCCTTAGCACAGCCATTTGTGAAAGTTTGTGTTTGCCTTGTAAAGAAAAGGAACTCCTGCTCCATTATTCCAAGCAATTAAGCTCCAACAGCACAGGGATGAGGAGGAGGCCCTGATTTTCTTTCCCTTTGCAGTAATTGCCTCAGCAATCATCTTTGATCAAGTAAGAGCAGAGGAGGAGAGTCCTGCGAGTTGACATCTCTGGTATAAATATATACATTTACATACATGGGGCAGCCGCAGTGCCGCAGCTTCTTCCTGACGTGTCTGACCTGAAACCAGTGTAGCTCCACTGACACCTCATTTAATTGAATCCTTCCCTCGCAGTGCTGGAGCCGGAGGACTTGAAAGGAGGAGGGAAGTGGAAGGATGGGTAATCAAGGCACGCACTTCTGCCTGAATGTCTAGAAATGACAGGAAAATAATTGCTTTTGAAAAGCAAAAAACAGAATTTGTTCTATTTAGTAGGATGCTAAAAGAGGATAAAGATATAGGGATTTTGCCCCAAACGTACCAAAATCCCTACCCTGAGGAAAAAAAAAAATCAATTTTGACTTTGGTGCAAATAGGAATGAAATGGGTTTTATTAAAGAAGAAAGAAAAAAATATATAATCCTAAGGAAGAAAAATCCAGTGGCTCTTTTGATTCAAAATAGCCAGAGACAATAGTAAGTTCTGAGCCCAGAGCCACAGCACAGCCCCTTTTGTCAGCTTCAAATCAGCCCAGAGGGTCGAGTCAGTTTAACCTGCTTCTGTGACACATCACCTACCGTCTGACCTGCAAGCGGCCTCATTTTTATGGATGCAGGAGCTCACAGTGTAATTCATTCCCTGACACACCCCGCTCGTTCAGCTGCCTGCCTTTGCCACAAGGTTCGCTGTGTACTCTCTGCTGGCAGAACCAAGGAGATATCAGCCTGCTTCTTGTTTAATGCAGAAGTTGCCATGTCTTACAGCTGAAGAGAGATGCCCCTTTACAGCATCAAATGGGGGCCTAGATCACCCATGCAAATTAGCAGAGTTTAAAGAAATCAATCTGTACCTAGAGGAATCATCAGGTATGGGAAAAACAAAATCTGAAAGGTATTTGATAATGTTGCCTCTTCTGTCCTCAGCTCTCCAGTTTTGTTTTTGTTTTTTAATAATATGCCAGTAAGAATATTAGAGTGCTTTACCCTTTACCACATGGAAAAATGGAAAACAGAAATCGCCATAAGAACAACACCTTTGCAAAGCTCTCACATGCATCATTTATTTATCTAGACTTCTCCACAACCATTAGTAGTTAAAGCAGCAGCAGCTTTATAACTCTTTACACAGATCAGGAAACTGAGGCTCATATAGTTTAAAGAATTTGTACAAGTTCTCACTGACGACAAACAGTAGAGCAGGGAGTCCTGATGTGCAGTAAGAGGGGCCCCAATTCTGGGCCCCGTATTAGATATCCCTGTTTCATCCCTACTGTGGCTGCCTCACATCCTGTCCTATTGCTTGAGGAGCCTGTGGAATCAAGGAGAGCAAGTACTCACTAACAATTTTCCAGCCTTCCCCACCTCAAGCCTTATTCTACTCCCTAGGACTCTAAAATGTGAAACTTAATTCCAAGGCCTGCTCAGACCTTCTCCCTGGGTCTATCCTTTTGGTCTGTACCAGTAAGCCTGAGAGATAGCCACAAGATGACTGTTCGCATGCATGGTGAATGCGTTTTGGATTGCAGCCAGAGTATTCTCCACAAGTACATGAACTCATTCTTAGCAAGAGGACAAAATCAAGGGTGGAAAGAGTTGTAGTCTGGGACCTGTGAACTAATTCTACACACGTCAAAGGTTCCTAACTAGAGTATGACCTCTGAAGGTGTTAAAAGGGTATTTATCAGTGTAGGAAGCTAGAACATGTTTTTATACACCCATTTGGTTTTTCACTTTTAAGTATTTAGACATGTGGGATATAGATCTCCATTTAATCTTCCATCCCAGGTACTACAGATGTTAAGGGGAGTAGCCTTAGTCTATCTAGTGGAGATAAATGAAAATTTGAAAGAGATTATATACACAAGATTCACAAAAATTTTCTTTAGCTCTATTTAAAGAGTCAAACAATTTACTGGCCTTCATAGTCACAATTTTCCCAAGAACTCATTATAGGCTGGGAATCAATTTCTACAATAGTTATAGGATATAATGATAAAATAATATAATTTTATAAGTATTTTAGTATAAGCTGCTGATTAACTACATTGCCAAATTCCTAAATAATTATAATAATTTGGTCCAAAAGGTAGCACCCTGGATAAAAGTGAAACATTTCTTCCAAGCAATTATGAATTCTTCTTCATCAGCAAGATCCAATTTAAAACTTCACCCGCCAGGGATTTAGCTCAGGGGTTCCGGTGCCTGCCTTGCAAACACAAGGTCCCAAGTTTTAACTTCACCCAGATTCACAACTAAGTTGATTAGCTATCCATTTTCAGCAGGGGAATAAGTTTTAAAGAAAGAAGCCCAAAGCAGATGAGGTAATATATTGATATGGCTGCCTTGAGCATTTCATATCTGGTTTGTACAGAGCTTCTTCTGGCAAACTAAGGGGCATGCCAACTTTTACCTCTATTTTTTTGTTGTTGTTGTTTTTGTTTTGGTACCAGGGATCAAACTCGAGACCTTGCACTTGCGAGGCAAGTTCTCGCTCCTAACACTGAGCTTCCATAGCACTTTGTATCTCTATAGGTTGAATGCTTTTCTCTTGCTTCATCAGCTCTTTATGTATATCTTGCTATTCCTAGTAAATTATAGAAGTCTGAAATCCTGCAAGTTTCACTTTTGAATTCCCACAGTACTCAATGCACACAGTAGGCCTTGAATGAGCATTTAATGAATGAATACACAGATGATTCCTACTTTCCCCCTTCTTTTTTGTAATCACCTCTCAAAAAATTTTGCCATGCTTTTAAATGTTCTGAAGTCTCTTCTGTGGTCCTTACATGATTTTCACTAACCCCTAAAGAATATTATTTTGAAAATGGATAAAAAGTTTTCTTTTATTTTGGAGATATTCGTAGGCTAAACATATCCCTATATGTGTATTGTTTTTTGTTTTGTTATATTTTGGTATCAGGGATCGAACTCAGGCCCCTGAACTTGCGAGGCAGGTGGCAGAACATATCCCTACATATGAAAGAGCAAGTTTTATCTATTATTATTATGTCTAAAATTTGTGTCACTCCAAAACTTATGTATTGAATCCCTAACCTTCAATGTGTTGTTGAAGACAGGGCCTTTAGGAGGTAAGTGAGGTTAGATGAGGTCATGACGGTGAAGTCTTCATGACACAGTGGTCAAAGCAGGCCCTGAGATCCTATTTGCAGGGAAAAACCTCAGGAAGGAATTCATTTGGGACTGAGAAATGCAAGTTGGAAATGTTTGGTACATAGAAACACAGGAGTACACATGACACAGAAGTGTGCATGGGGCATGGAGATAGCCGTAGAAGCTAAAAGTCGGCACAGGTAGAAAATAGGAAACCAGCCATTCAGATATGTTCTTGGTGTTTTTCTGAGTTGCAGCCACCTTGGAGCCACCACTTTGCAGATACCATAATTTAAACATTCAACCAACCGTAATGCAATTATAGTATTCATCGTGAGCAAATAATTTATCATTCATCTATTATGTGCAAAGAATTGTGATATAGCAACAAATGATATAAACAGGAGCTATCTTGAAGGGGGATAATGTAAAGAAGTAGATATGTCAATGTAAATAAGAACATCTTCGGAATGAGTAAGTTCGGTGAAGAAAGATGGGATTATGTGAACGTGTAAGGAGGGGGTTGGGCTACCACTCTGTAAACTAGTGTAGTCAGGAGGACATGAATGATGAGAAGGAGGCAACCATCTGAAGACTGGAATGTGCAGTCAAAGGAGAAGGACCATAACATGCAAAGGCCCTGAGAAGGGAATAAATTGGTACAGCCATTTATATTATGGAGTAGAGCTACTATAATTATTTTTTACTTTATTAATACTTTGAGATTGTCTACAAAGACTATCTATTTGTTCTTAATATTGTATCTTATTCTTTGGCCTTCCTTTTTTGCATTCAACAAAGGTATCTGATATATGCTAGGAATTCAAGTATGTTTAACCAATGGGTTTTGCTGTCCTAATTATATCCCATGTGTCCTTAACTCCTGAAGCCCAGTGGCCCAATAATGTTGCCAAGAATCCTACATGCCAAGAATTTATGTATCTTTCTAGATCTGATGTTTGATAGCAAATGAACTTTGGTCTATGTCTGTGGTTATGGCTATGTCTGTGTGAGAGCTATTTTTAAATACATTTAATTATTAAGTAGAGAATGCATTATTTGAATTCAAAAGTAAAATACAAAGGAATCACAGTAAAAGTTCTGGTCCTCAACCAGTTCCCTTTCCTGATGGCCAGCCATGTTTGCAGTTGTTATGTATCCTTTTAGAGGTACTGTAAGCATACATAAGCAAATATATAGAGGTGCCTATCCTCTCCCTCACCATCTTATACAAATTGTACTCTATAAACAAATTATGTTCCCTTTTTCATTTTATATCATGTTCATAGATATGTTGATTTTTC